CCACAACGGAAGGCCCGCCTCTCCATTCATTCGATTGGACAATGGAAAAAAACGTGAATGACGTCGGGCACTTTTCCGCTCAGGGTTGCTTTTTTTTTCAACTTCAGGCGCATCCTCCAAAAACGCGAGGCGCAGCAGGCGGCTAAAACGCGAGGCGCCCGGGGCTCATAAACAGTGCGCAAAACGCTCACTGCCAACAGAAAACAATTCAAAAAAGGTGCCACTGCAAAAAACGCGTTCTGTCTGATCGGGGCCTGGAAGCATGCAGCGTTGTCTAAAGTGTAACCAAAACATGATGGCGTGTTTCAGGGTCATTTTAGGGGTTAAGCACATTTTTCAGGTTCTTGAACACTTCCTCCATCACTTTCACTTGTCACCACAGAGAGCACATGCTCTGAACCTGACACAGACGAGCTGAATGAGAGCCAAGAGACACAGGAAGAATTGCATAATAACTTTAATCTGCAACAGTATTGCATTAATCAGAATCCAGGCTGACCTATAATCCCTCTTCCTGCCCTGCAGATCTGCATAATAGTGGATGTGCAGATTATAACAGGATAGATCACACAAATATTAAAAAATTCACCCTCATGTTGTTCCAAACCTGTATGACTCATTTTCTTCCATAGAGCACAAATTGAGATATTTTGTAGTATGTTCATGCTGCTCTTTTCCATATAATAAAAGTAAATGGGGACCAGGGACTTTCAAGCTCCAAAATGACACAAAGGCACCATAAATGTAGACCAAACAACTCCTTACAGTACCATTAAAAGGTTAAGGGTCAGAAAAATGTTGTTCTTTTAGATTTTAGACTTGTTGACGTGTGACACTGAAGACTGGAGTAATGATGCTGAAAATTCAGCTTTAGCATAATAAAAATAAATTACATTTTAAAATATATTCAATTAAAATTCTAATAATACTTCACAATGTTACGGTCTGTATTTTTGAGAACATTCTTTGATAAAAGAGACTAATTTTAAAAACATTTTAAAATATAATATGATAAAGCTACACCTAAGAAAACTTATTGCTAAAATTTGAAATGTGATTTTGGTCACCATTGACTTCCATTGTATGGAAAAGAGCAGCATAACAATTCTTCAAAGTTTCTTCTCATGTTTTGCATGCAAGATAGAAACTCGTACAGGTTTGGACCAACACGAGTGAGTAAATGGTGACAGAATTTACATTTTTGGGTGAACTATAAGCATTTTTGATCATTATACTGTTCAGTATACAGCTCACTTCCTGTTCCTCATACTGATCTCGTGTTCTTTTCCTGTTATTTATTAACATCCTCTTTCTCGCTCATAACAGGTGGCAGAATACCACGTGAAGCGTTGCTTGGAGGCAGGAATTTGGACGAATATACCACGAGCCTCCAAAGAAGAAAGTTCAGAAACGGACGAGTGGAGAATGATGGAGAGCTAGCAGACGAAACTTCACTAGGAAACCAGCTTTGGGTCGCAGGACAGGAAGAACAAGGGCTGTGCTCAGAGACTTTTGTTTTGTATCCGTGCCTGGATGTGTGCTGCACTTTATATTTGTTTAAAAGAGAAAGTATTTTAAAAGAGATCGGGAACTGTATTTTGAGGCACTTATATTTTTGTGCACATTTCTGTTGCTAACTTCTTCTGTTTTAGCATTTTGAGAAACGTTTAGGAAAGCGGTACGTGCAGGAGTGCAAAGGAAAACCTCATAGTTTAAATCAAGCTTTTTTCTCATGTTCTTTTTGTTGTTCTCCGCCGTTGGATTGTAATCTACAGCATCCACTGAACATTCAGACTCCAGCTGCTCTCTGGGAACTGTTTCATGTGTCATCTGTGCATGGACACGGCAGATAACAGTCGGCTTCCTGCAGATAGACAAACGACACTAAGGCGAAGCAGGACCTCCCACTTTGCTATCTTCACGATGGAAATGAGACCTTTGCAAAAAGTTCAAGTAGTACAACATGAAAACCAGCAATATAATATTGTTACCTTCAGTTATAATGAAAGAGATTCACGTTCACTATCAAAATGTAAACCGGATGCTAAAGGCACTGGGGCTGTTGAGTTTGATATGATGTCAAAAGTCACAAATTGGGATGGTTCACCCAAAAAAATCATAATTTCTCAATCTTAGGTTGTTCCAAACCTGTTTGACTTGACGTTGAACACAAATTTTTTTTATTCATACAATGACGGTCAATGGCATCCAATCAATGTTGTTTTGGACCCCATTGACTTTCTTTCATTATATGGTCAAAAACAAGCAATGTTCTTCTAAATGTCTCTTGCATTTTCCATAGAAGAAAGAAAGCGATGCATGTTTGGATGATGACCCATCCCAACAAATAAGACTTTCAGAGATGCCATTTTGCCTCGCCATCAACCGGACTTGTATTGATTGCGGTAATTGCATTGAAACACGGCCGATGCTGTTTGCTTATCGCATCCAGCTATACAGCATATATAAGAGCATATACAGCAAACCACGATTTGTGTAATATTAAATGATGTCTGTGATGACATTGTGCAAATCTTTACAATCAGATCGAAATCCTCAATTAAATCTTTAGACCACCGGTATTGCTGACTGATTGAAATCTTTAATTTTGCCGTTTATTTTGATTAGAATAACGTCTTGGCATTTTATAAATGTGTTGGCTAGTTCTCTGTGTGAGGGATTCACCTCGGACTACTTGTAGGCAATAAACGGGCCTAAAACGTGTGGGTTTTAGAAGGAGGGGCGTTTTTGGTTGAAAGCAGCTAGGATCAAATGTACGATATGTGCTTTTGCGGCACGTCCACTCAACAAAAGGAACATAAGGCACCGGTCATAAAGTTAATATATGTGAAACACAAACATTGGTTGAGAAATATTTAATGTTTCTTGGAGATATTGATGAGAAAATTGGCCATTTCTTTATTTTAAGCTACTCAGTCTTTAGGTCCACAAAATATAATGTAAACAGTGTGATACATTATATGAATATAAAAATATATATGTAAATATTTTCAAAATATATATTGTATGTGTGTGTATTTGTATATGCATAATAAAGCCCCTTCATTTTTTTTCATGTTTTATGTTGCAGCCATATGTTAAACTGCTTTAAATTACTTTTTTTCCCACATCAATCTACACTTCATACACCATAATGATAAAGCAAATAACAGGTTATTAACATCTTTGCAAATTTATTAAAGATAAAAACCTTAAATAATTCCATTGCATAAGTATTCATACCTGGGACAGTTGAAATTCAGCTCAGGAGCATTCATTTTGTTTGTAAGTGTTACCACACTTTGAGTGAAGCTAACCTGTGGCAAATTCAATTGAATGGGTATGATTTGGAAAGCCGATGGACTCATCAGAGCAGAAGAAAAGCTCAATGCACCAACATATAGATAGTCTTAATGAAAACCCAGTCCAGAGCATTCAGAAGCTCAGACTGGGCAGGTTCACCTTTCAACAGGACAATGACCCTAAGCACACAGCAAGAGTGGCTTATAGACAGCTCTGTGAATGTCCTTGAGTGGCCCAGACAGCCTGAGCTTGAACCCAATCAAATATTTCTGGAGAAACCTGAAAATGTGTGTCTGCCCCCATCCAACCTGACCGAGCTTGAGAGGTGAAGAGAATGGCAGATAATTGCCAAATGATGATCCAAAAAGACTTGAGGCTGTAAAGGTTGTAAAGGTGAGTACTGAGTGAAATGTAATACTTATGAAATGTACTAATTTCAGTTTTTTTATTTTTTATATTTTTTATA